GAGAGAGAGAGAGAGAGAGAGAGAGAGAGAGAGAGAGAGAGAGAGAGAGAGAGAGAGAGAGAGAGAGAGATGGCTTCGCAGCAGCCATTATCGCAGGAGGCGAGCCAAACTCCAGGTCCTTCGAAAGGTAGGTTGGACATTCGCGGGTTCTACGAGGAGGAGGTAACGGTGCTAAACGGTGGGAGTCAAGCGGATGCTTACACCTTTCTAGAATTGAACACTCAGGGTTCGGACTTCGATTTCCCGGAGTATCCCGAGTTGACGCAGGTTTCCCGCCCTTCTCAACAATGGGCGGGAAATGGTGTAGAGATCAACGTATCGGGGGTTGTGGAAGACGAAGTGGAGAGGAGGATTGGCGGCGGCGGCGGCGGCGGCGGCGGCAGCGGCAGCGGCGGGGAAGAAGGCGCGGCGGGCGCGGGGCCGGGGGAAGTCGGCGGAGTTAACGGCGGGAGTAGCGGGGGGCCAGGTGGTGGCGGCTCTTCTTCCTCGACTTCTGCTGATGCCTCCGCCTCTTGCGCTCATCCCGACACCCTATCCGAAGGCGTGTCGGGATCTCAGACCGAAGTTATTAACGGAGTTATAACTAGCGGCGTGAGCGAATTGAGTTTTGATGAGACCGGCGACGAAGAGGCCTTGGATTATTACGCTAAACATCGGGACCTCCCCGATCACGCCTGCAAGTACTGTGCGATTCATAATCCCGCAAGTGTGGTCAGATGCAACGTACCTTCCTGTCGCAAGTGGTTCTGCAACTCCAGGGGCAACACCTCAGCCTCACATATCATCAACCACCTCGTTAGGGCGAAACACAAGGAAGTGAGCCTCCATCGAGACACGCCTCTGGGAGAGACGATCTTGGAGTGCTACAACTGCGGGTGCCGCAATGTCTTCTTACTGGGGTTCGTTCCGGCGAAGTCTGAGTCCGTGGTCGTGCTGCTGTGTCGCGATCCCTGCCTGAGCGTGAATGGTCTGAAGGATATGAACTGGGATCTGAGTCAGTGGTTGCCACTGATCGATGATGGAAGTTTCCGGGAGTGGCTGGTGAAAGTTCCGTCGGAACAAGAGCAACTGCGAGCCCGACAGATCAGCGCGCAGCAAATCAACAAGATGGAGGAGTTGTGGAAGACCAATCCAGAAGCGACCCTTGAGGAGCTTGAAAAGCCGGGAGTGGACGATGAACCCCAGCCCGTAGCGCTGCGGTACGAGGATGCATACGAGTACCAGAACGTGTTTGGCCCGCTGGTGAAATTGGAGGCGGATTATGACAAGATGATCAAAGAATCCCAGACGAAGGATAACATCACAATCCGATGGGACATGGGGCTGAACAAGAAACGAATCGGCTTCTTCGTTTTCCCGAAGGAGGATAACGAACTGAGGTTAGTACCGGGCGATGAGCTGCGTCTGCGCTATGGCGGCGACAGCACGCATCCACCCTGGCAGTGCGTAGGCCACGTGGCAAAGCTGACGCCAGCAGAGGAGGTGGCTCTCGAGCTCCCGAGCAGCCAACAGAATGTCCCCGCTGACGTCAACCATAACTTCAGCGTGGATTTCGTCTGGAAGAGCACCGGATTTGACAGAATGCAAGCCGCGCTGAAGACCTTTGCGGTGGACGAGACGAGCGTGAGCGGATACATCTACCACAAGATTCTGGGGCATGAGGTGGAACCCCAGATCGTGCGCAACACGCTTCCCCGCCGCTTCGGCGCGCCGGGATTGCCCGAGCTGAACCACTCCCAGGTCTACGCCGTGAAAAGCGTTCTCCAGAAGCCTCTGAGCCTTATCCAGGGCCCACCTGGGACGGGAAAAACGGTGACTTCCGCTGCCATCGTGTATCAGCTTGCGAAGCAGAACCAGGGGCAGGTGATTGTATGCGCGCCGAGCAATGTCGCCGTGGACCAGCTTGCGGAGAAGATAAGTGCCACCGGTCTGAAGGTGGTCAGGCTGTGTGCCAAGTCCCGCGAGGCTGTCAGTTCCCCTGTTGAGCATTTGACTCTGCATTACCAGGTTCGACACCTAGATTCCCCAGAGAAGAGCGAGCTTCACAAGCTCCAGCAGCTGAAGGATGAACAGGGGGAGCTCTCCAGTGCCGATGAGAAGAAGTACAAGGCCTTGAAGCGGTCAACCGAAAGGGAGATTGCTCAGAGTGCCGATGTCATCTGCTGTACCTGCGTGGGCGCCGGCGACCCTCGGCTCGCCAATTTCCGCTTTCGACAGGTACTTATCGACGAGTCCACCCAGGCTACTGAGGTTGAGTGCCTTATCCCCCTCGTCCTGGGAGCCAAGCAGGTGGTTTTGGTTGGCGATCACTGCCAACTTGGCCCCGTTATCATGTGCAAGAAGGCCGCGAAGGCCGGTCTTGCTCAGTCCCTGTTTGAGAGACTCGTTCTGCTCGGTGTCAAACCTATCCGTTTGCAGGTGCAATACCGCATGCATCCCGCCCTTTCTGAGTTCCCCTCCAGCACTTTCTATGAAGGGAGCCTGCAGAATGGCGTCACCACGCACGAGCGGGCGCAGACGGGTGTCGATTTCCCCTGGCCTGTGCCCAACAGACCGATGTTTTTCTATGTGCAGATGGGTCAGGAGGAGATCAGCGGCAGCGGCACGTCATACCTGAACCGGACCGAGGCGGCGAACGTGGAGAAAATTGTGACCACCTTCTTGCGAAGCGGAGTAAATCCTAATCAGATTGGAGTAATTACCCCGTACGAGGGGCAAAGGGCATACATAGTAAACCACATGGCCAGGAACGGATCGCTGAGGCAGCAGCTGTACAAAGAGATTGAGGTAGCGAGTGTGGATTCCTTTCAAGGACGAGAAAAGGATTTCATCATCCTCTCGTGTGTGCGGAGCAATGAACACCAGGGGATTGGTTTCTTAAACGACCCTCGCAGGCTCAACGTGGCACTCACTCGCGTGAGATATGGTCTTGTGTTGCTCGGCAATCCCAAGGTGCTGAGTAAGCAGCCACTGTGGAATGCTCTTTTGTCCCACTACAAGGCCCACGAGTGCCTGGTGGAGGGGCCGCTGAATAACCTGAAGCAGAGCATGGTCCAGTTCCAAAAGCCTAAGAAGGTGTACAATGATCGCCGGGTTTACCCGGCTTTGATGTCAGTTGTGGCTGCTGCTATGGGACCCGGGGGGACGGATATGAGCATGATGAACTTTGTGCCTGTCCCAACAGCGAACGCGGGGGCTGGCAATGGCGTCCCTGGGAAGGCGGTCGTCTATGGGAGTGGTGACCGCCGAAGTGGGCGAGGAAGGAGTGTCGGAGACGAAAGGCGCGGGGGGGGGGGGGGGCCGTTTGCTGCTGCGATGTCAAATGGGCAGAAAGGCGGAGGGATTCAGATCCCGTTGCACCCCCGTATTCCACCCCCTCTTCCAGGTCCAATAGGGCAACCTTATGCAATTCCTGTAAGGGGGGGCGCGCATTGTGGCTTGCCTGGTCCAATTGGCCCGCAACCGGGAGCCCGCGGTTTTGCTATGGGACGCGGTGCAGGTATTTCAGCATCGCAGCAGCAGGCGCAGCAGCAGGAGCAGCTGGAGCAGCAGCAGCGGCGGCAGGAGCAGAAAGCAAATTTCCGTCTCGTGGGGTTAGGTGGCGATGGAGCGAGTCAAGGGTTTGGCGGCCCGATGACTCAGCAAGAGGTAATGACACAGAACCATTCGGTGCCAGGGCTGAGCCAGCCTTTGAGAGAAGGGTTTTCGGTGGGAGGAACCTCGCAGGAGATTTTCATTGGGGACGACTTCAAATCGCAGGGCTCGCACATTGCCTACTCTGGGCCTGATTTTGTGTCAATGCCTTCTCAGCAGGCTTACGGAGGCGTCGACGTCATGTCGCCGACCACGCAGAACATGTTTGGCGCCGAGTACGCAACCCAGTGCTGTCAGGGTGTGTTCCCCCACCATCAGCAACAGCTTGTCTCAGATGTTATTTCTCAGGATTTTATTGCCCATGCCTCCCAAGGCCCTTTCACGCAGGGTGGCTTCGGTGACAGGGGCCAAGATGAGCAGACCAGTCAACCTTTCTTTGGCTTGTCTGGTCAAACTGCCTCTCAGGGTGGTGACTTGTCAGCGATGTATATCCAGCACTTTGGGCAGTTCACACAGCCTCATCTCGCTCACAGTCAGCCACAAACTCAACAACGTCTGATGTCAGCTGTGCTGCAAGGGCAGCATCAGCAGCAACAGCGATCGGTGCAGTTCACGTGAAGGGAGCCGAAGTTGGGCGAGAGCTGTGAGCATTATGAATAAGGAGGTCATTCCTCTGTTGTAATGCTGATATCTTTTCCGGAGCATTGAGGGCTCCGCTGCCAATGGGGAACAGAGACAGAGACAGAGACAGCGACGCACTGCATTTTTCAGTCGTATCTGGCTGGACTGCAAGCCTGGTCCATTGTCCCAGTTCCTGCTGGCTTGCTGTGGGACATCCTTAGCCTGGGAACGGAGCGAAGGTCCCACGTCTGTTGTCTGCCTCAGTCTCTACCACAGGCAGAACATGTGGTACCTCTGCTCTGGACTGCAAGCCTGGTCGCTTGTCCCAGTTCCTGCTGGCTTGTTGTGGGGGGACATCCTTACACCTGGCAACTGAGTTGGGGTTCTACATCTGTTGCTCGCCTCAGTCTCAACCACAGGCAGCACAAGTGGTGCCTCCCTCTGCATGTCTCCAGACTGTACAAGTGTTGAGCTCTTTGTACATGGTACTTGTCCCAGTTCCTGCTGGCTTGCCTCGGGACATCCTTACACCTGGCAACTGAGGGGGGGTTTTACTTCTGCTGTTTGCCTCAGTCTCTACCACAGGCAGGACACAAGTGGCACCTCCCTCTGCATTTCTCCAGATTGTACAAGTGTTGACCTCTTTGTACAATGCATCCATAATATATGCATGGAGCGCTCACATGTGTCACCATGGGCGGCCTATGTCTGTTTGCCTCTGCCTACGGCGGCCAGCACAGGTGGTATCTCTGCATGTCGCCAGACTTTGAAAGTATTGATGTCCAGTGCATCCAGATGCATGGATCATTACCGTCTTCCCCCGAACATAAGGCACGCTGAAAATGAACGTATACAAGCCGTCTTTCCGGTCCAATGCAGTCAAAATGAGGGTGCGTTGTGTTCGGGTGAAGACGGTAGCAAGACGTACCCGCAGCTGAAGACCTCTGGTAATTGAACACATCTGCAGTGGCTTTTGCAGCTTGTGTTGCCGTGGGAGAAGGGGACAATGGTTTGCACATGCACAGGAACGGGCGGGTCGTGACAAGTCGCTGGCGGCAGGGAGACAACAGAATGTACGTTGGCTATGGGAATAGGTGTGTGACAACTCAGCGGCTGCAGGCACACAGTAAGATATACATTGGCAATGAGAATTGGCGCATCTTGCTGTGATGCTGCAAGCTGAGTTTTGGATGTTGGGCTCTCCTTCTGAGAGGCGGACGGTTTGTCTGGGATCTTGGCGGGTAGAAGGCAACCCCTGGAGAACTCCCCTCCCTCCAGAGAAGGGCATCAAGCATGTGTCTGTGCCAAAAGGGGAAAGAATGGAGGGGGGAAAGGGGGGATGAGGGAGGGGGGGGTGATGGTGATTCACGGTGCCCTGTTTGATCAGTGAACAGGAGTGGCCAATGAAAGGAGGGCATTGGCCTGCAGCTGCACCTTGCTTTGGTTGGAGAGGGTTTCGACAGTATGGATGAATGGCATTCAGTTCCTGCTCACTTTGGTCAGAGGGGGTCTCGTCAGTGAGACTTACTTGCCAACCCCTCTATTCCGGATCGGCAATGGGGGCAATGTAGCAGCCTGCTGCTTTGCACGGATTTGGTGCCCGAATTGTATGAGCTTGATCTGCTTTTTAGGGCGATCTAAAGGGACAGGTGCGGTGAGTGTTAACCGCACACAGGGCTTTCGATGCAGGTTTCTGTGTGCTGCTTTTGTGCATGCCTTCGTCATCCATACTGAGGAGGAAGTTTGTGGTCGCCCCTCCCCGTTGGCGAGCGGTCTGAGTGCCTGGCCTTGCTGGGCAAGGGGGGATAATCGTGTTGTTCTGCCGATCTCAAGATTCAATTGTGAGCTTAGTGCCACAGGGGCACGACATACACAGCATGAGAAACTTCGCTGTGTGGTCAGCCGCTGTGTGTGGAAGCGATGCCAAACTCTCCGAAGGGGTCTTGTCAGTGGGAATTACTTGTTAATCCCGCTATTCTTGAGAAAGCCCTGGGGCTAATGTATCCTCGGCCGCTTCACACGGATTTGGTACTTGATTGGCAGGAGCTTGATCTGCTTTGACATTGTATTGCTGCTTTGCAGGAGGAAGGAGATGCAGTGGCAGTTGCAGTGCGTGTGAGCTGCTGCAGTTTGCAGTTTTCTATGTGCTGCTCTTGCTGCATTCCCTATTCATCCATATTGAGGAGGAAGTTCATGGTTGTACCGGCCCTTGATGAGAGGTCAGTGGCTAATATCATGAATGCCTGGCCTTGCTGGGTAAGGGGTGATCGTTGTGTTGTTCTGTCGACATTACTTGCTAGATTCGTTCGTGTGCTTAGTCCCACAGGGGCCAGATGTACAAAGCATGAGGAAGCTGTGTGATCGGGCGCTGTGTCTGGAGGTGATGCCGAACTCTCACAAGGGGGGCGCTCACAGCTTGTGTCTGGTGTGGCTGACGTGTCAACAGTGTGCTTTTCACATACCCCAGGCCGATTCTTTTGGACGGAGACCGACTCCTCTGCTCCTACGTGGCCAGATGTAGTAACACAGGATGAGGAAGCTGTGTGGTCGGGCGCTGTGAAACTCTCCAAGGGGGTATGCGATGCCAAACTCTCCAAAGGGGGTGCTCGCCGCTTGGTGTGTGGTCTGGCTGACGTGTCAAGAGTGTGCGTTTCACATGCCCTGGGCTGATTCTTTTGGATGGAGAGTGAATCCTGTGCTCCGACGTGGCCAAATGTACGCAGGATGCGGAAGCTGTGTGGTCGGGCAGTGTGTGTGGAGGCGATGCCAAATTTTCCAAGGGGGGTGCTCACGGCTTGGTGTGTGGTCTGGCTGACGTGTCAAGAGTGTGCTTTTCACATGCCCTGGGCTGATTCTTTTGGACGGAGAGTGACTCCTGTGCTCCTACGTGGCCAAATGTACACAGGATGAGGAAGCTCTGTGGTCGGGCGCTGTGTTTGGAGGCGATGCCAAACTCTCAAAGGGGGGTGCTCGCTGCTTAGTGGGTCTCGCTGATGCGTCAAGGATGTGTTCTTCACATGCCCTCTGCTCATTCTTTCTGAAGGAGAGTGACTCTTGTGCTCCTACTTGTTACATATCTCCAATGCAAGTGCCACACAATGGGCCTCACTCCAGTACTCAACGTTCTACATGCATTTGGACGCTTTCTGGACCAGCTGCATTCGGGTGCGTGCCACATTTTGAATGTATTGGATGGTCGTACGCATCGAAGAGATGGGGGCTCGGGAGGATGACCAGTTTGCAAGACTGTTGCTGAGACAGTGGAGAGCAGAGTGCAATATCTGCAAAGCGCAGCGGTAGAGCGTAATGGTCAAAGCCTGCCTGACTGTGAGACCTACAAGTCGAACAGAGACGAAAGCCGAACACTGTATGGGTCAGATGTCCCTTTCCTTCAAGAAATAAAGGGCAATCGGCAGTCAATCCCCTCCCATTGGGCTGGGCAATCAATGCTGTCGGGCCTGCATGTCAGCTTGCATTTCGGATTTGACATTGTTGTTTCTAATGGGACGCTGGACCCGGTTTCCAGCATGTGTTGCTCCCCACCAATAGATTGGAGCCATCTACAGGGGTTGGCCCTCCATCAGGAGGAAGGCTTGACCTTCCCCCCTGATGGACAGCCACCGAGTGATGTTAACAATATAAAACAAACAAACAAACAAAAAAAAGGACTAGACGTGGAATGGATTGGGGTGTCCGGTTGTGTGGGTGGTTGCTCTTACTCTCTACTCATAAACGTCAGTGCATTTGAAGGAAATGATCTGTGATGTGGGGTATGGAGGCTGAAGTGAAGCTTTTGCCGTTAGATGACATTTCAACTTGGAATTGCGGATTAACCTCTGGGGTATGGAGGCTCTGGGGTGGGGGAAGTGGGATTAAGGGCCCCTGTTGAGTGCCCCCAAAAGGGGGGGGGGGGGGGGGGGGGGGGGGGGGGGGGGGGGGGGGGGGGGGGGGGGGGGGGGGGGGGGGGGGGGGGGGGGGGGCGGGGGACTGAAAGAGGGGGGGGGGGGGAACTTGCTAAAAGGCTTGTGTGGCAGTGTTGTTTGTCATGATGTCATTGTGGTGAGTGGCTCAAGATGCCCTCTTGAGTTGCATGGAAGGGCACTTGGGGCCGTCATTACGCGGCCATGCTGTGCCTCGAGTGCCAGCAGCGAGTCTGGGATTGTGCTTTCTGGCTGTGACAGATCTTTGTTTGTTTCGTGGGTGTTTTGCTGGCATAATGAGATGTGAACCTGCCTTCTGTAGAGTTTTCCATCTGGTGTGGGTGATTGATAGTCTGCTTTGATTTTCGTCACAGGTACTTGAGGGCAGTGGGTGTTGCCCAGCTCAGGGTCTCAGTTGTGGGCCATCGTTGATGCTTAAGCACAACTGGGGCTAAGGTACATCATCACTTTCAGTATCATTGGTTAGGGCGATCTACAGACTGTAGAGGGTTCAGCTTCCTGATGAGTGGTGGAACTCCGACGAAACGGTCTGTCACAGCCCGTCGTCTGTTGTCCTCGTCTCCCTCTCTACCTGCGGTTTCCTGGGCAGTTCTTTTTGTCAATATACGTTTCGCAGATACATGAAAAAAACAATAGATTGTTGTCCTCCTCTCTCCCTCCCTACGCTTGACCGGGCAGTGTATATGCCTCCTGACGAGTCCGTGAAACTCCGACGAAACAGTCTGCTACAGCCCCCTCGTTGTTGTCGTCTTCTCCCTCTCTGCCTACGGGTGTACCGGACAGTGCTCTATAATGTCTGTTGTATATATCGTCAAACAGAATATATCGGGATAGAGAACTCCCCGCTACACCGTAGGCAGAGAGGGAGAAGAGGACAACACGAGGGCTGTGACAGACTGTTTCGTTGGAGTTATATGTATAAAATTACTACAATTTCTGTCAAAGTACGCTTGAGGGCAGTGGTTGGTGCCCGCCTCCGGGTATCCGTTGTCGGGCAGTCGTTTGTACTTGGGGCCTTGCTTCACTACACAACGCTCTAGATGCATTTGGATGCTTTCTGGACCCGATTGGAGATGTTGGACTCCTCGAAACGTGTCCGGAAAGCGTCCAAATGCATGTAGAGTGTTGTGTAGTGGGGCGAGGACCTTCATTGCAACTGGGGTTAAGGTGGATTATAACTTACAGTATCATTGGTTAGGGGACTGCAGACTGTCGGGGGGTTCAGCCTCCTGATGAGTCTGTGAAACTCAGACGAAACAGTCTGCCGCAACCCCTCATGCTTCTTTTTTCTTCATATGTTTTTTTTAATTTGTTTGTTCAACCCTGTTTTGTCATCCTCTTCTCCCTCCCTTTCTGCCTACGGTTTACTGAGCAGTTCTCTATGACGATTTTTTTTTTTTTTTTTTTTTTTTTAAGTGGCCTTGAGGTATTATCATTGTACTAACCAGCCCAGGTAAATTCAATCTTGTGTCTAATCTGCCACCGGGTGGCCTTTTCAGCCCAGGGTGGCCTTATTGTCTTCAGGGAACCCCCAATGAGGGGACACCGGCCAGGGGGAGGACAGCCCGCAGCAGAGGGACCGAGCATCATCTGAGTGGCCAGTCGCTGTGCCTCCCCGATTACCCCTACCCCTATGAACATCAGCAGAGACTGCTTTTTAATGTCAATTGGGGGGACCGACGGGCTATCTCTAGGTCGCGGGCGCCAAGCATGCCCAGGAAGGTACATGGGGCCAATGGGGATTGAACCCAAGACCTCCTGAATGCTGCCTGCATGCCTTACCAACTGAGCTTATATGTAAATGTTTACCCACTCTGTGTCTTCCTTTACTTTTGTCTTCCTAATATATTTTTTTTCACTCTTTGGGCCTCGCTCTGCTACTCGCAATATATGCACAAAAGATTAAAAAATATGGAGTTGTATCTTCCATGTTCTAGCTGAAGACCCATTCTCATTTTGCACTTGTAGTGAGTAGTGGAGCGAGGCGCTTTGTCCTCTCCGGCTTTACCCTGCCTCCTTTTAATTGCTTAGAAGTGGGTCGTTGTGGTACAGGAGGATGTGGGCAGCAGCTCTTGCTTAACGTCATCAACAGGGCGGACCTTGTATGTGAGAGGCACAGCAACGGGGGAGCTAGAAGATAGAAATAATAAAAAGAGATACTCGGTCAAACCGCGAAAAGGAGCCAGTGTAAGCAAAGAAAAGAAAGGGCCTCGCCACACCACTCTCGAAACGAAAAACAATGCGAGTGCATCTTGCTGTAGAAGGTGGCTGGATTCATTGGCTGCTATTCATAGCAACGGATGTTTGTTGCCAGCTTCTGGGGGAAGATGCTTGTGCTTGTTATTTTTTTTTCGTGAGTGGTTTGGCGATGCCCAAAGAATCACACAGGAAAGGCAAAAGGACCGTTTGTTTCAGTGTGCTTTATCTGCTACTTCCATTAAAGTTCTTGCAGTCGGGTGTAACGCTACGTTGCGACCTACCCGGACCGGATTCTGCCCATCTGTGAGATGGGCCGTCCAATAAGCAGCGACCTACCGGGACCGGATTCTGCCCATCTGTGAGATGGGCTGTCCAATAAGCAGCAAATTTCCCGGCCTCTATCGATGGCGATGGCTTGCCTGAAAACGCGATTGAAAAAAAGCAAACTACAGGCAGCTCGACTGTCTCACCGCGTAAAGAAAAAAAAAAGAAATGCTAACTAGCGCTCTGTGCAACTATCTCACCACGTAAAGAAATAAAAGGAAATGCAAACTAGCGTTGCGTGTCATGTTGGGCCGGTGCACCGCCCACCAGCTGTCAAAAAAAGACGGGAAAAGGAAAGAGCTGATGGAAGGGGGCAAAACAACAAAAACGGGCTGATGCTGGGCCTCGACGCACCACGGACGAAACGATGGAGGGAAAAGAAAAAAAGAATGAAAGTGGGCTGATATTGGGCCTCACCAATGAACACGTTGGTCCGTTGAGGCCCAATATCGGCCCGTTTTCGTTCATTTTTCCCCCCCTTCCTTCGTCGAGGCCCAACATGGGCCCGTTTTAGTTCTTTTTTTTCGTCTTACATCGCTCGGTCGGTGGTGTGTCGAGGCCCATTGCCACGTCTCATCCCATCCGATTCCATATAGAACGCGCCGTCGAACTCGCTGTCAGGCTGCGTTCAAACAGCGGTCGCGGTTATGAGTCTCTCTCTCTCTCTCTCTCTCTCTCTCTCTCTCTCTCTCTCTCTCTCTCTCTCTCTCTCTCTCTCTCTCTCT